CCAGTAAAGAGGAGCGAGAGATGGAAGAAAAGAAAGGTGATTTTCTAATGAGTGGCTGGTAGTATTTAAAGAGATGGTTTTTGTTGAAGCTTTTGGTGGGTATTTCCGATGAGTGATTGCTGATGATTTTCTAGGTGGAGAGAAGATGAGATATTTTCTTGGTGGAAGACGGCTGGAGTTGTGGTTCAAACACTGACTGGTAATGATGAAAATTTATGAAATAATTTTGTGGAGCAAGATAAGAACCTTGAATTTGCAGCAATGGTGGTATGTTGTTAGAGAAGGAGAACACTAATTTTAGTGGGTTTAGTTATTTATTATTACAGATGGAAAATAAATAGTGACATGGAGTCCAGCGTGTCATTTTAGTTGCTGAGTCATGGACAACCGTTAGGGTTAGGGACGATTTTATCTACTTTCTTAACGGCATGCCTATATTTGGACTGAAAGTAAAAATGGGTATAAACGTAACTAATTTTCGATAGTATAGGGACAATTTTGGCCCTTTTCCCATTTTACAATGTCCCTAATACTCACTTAGGCTTGTTGTAGTTCGATATTATATTCTAAATCGTTAATTGACTAATTTGTGTTAGCGAGTGATTTTATTTTGTGCCTCACACAACTTACATTACTTGTGTGAGGCCTCTTTTTATCTCACATATTTGTGGACCCATATCTTATACATCTGGGTCCACAAAATTCTGGGACCCACACAGCTGTGAAACAAAAAAGAGGCCTCACACAACTAGTGTCATTTGTGTGAGGCACAAAATAAAATTTTTCTGTGTTAGCTGTCAACCAACGGCAGACCTACTTGTACTATTGAGGGGTTAACAAACCCCGTAAACTCCGACATAGATCTTATTAGTGGCGGAGCCACCTTATCCAAAGGGGTGTCAAATTGACACCCTTCGTCCGGAAATTACACTATGTAGTTCGGTAATTTTTATTTTATATGTATATATTACTTTATGTTGACTCCCCTTGACTTGTTAACACACTTCTTTATATTTTGACACCCTTTATATATATCTTAAAAAATGATTATACAATTATATTAACACCCTTAACATTAAAAGTCTTTAAGAGGCACTAATAAAAAAATTAATGGTGCCCCTGTCGCGTAAGAATCATGAGCCCGCCTCTGCTGTCTACTTATGACAACCTGATAAACGGCCAAAAATGCATATTTGTCGCTGCACTTTCATCTCATAGCTTGTGGGATTAAGGTAGGTTACATGAGTTTTTGTAGTGAACTATGCTCATTACGTGCATTCTCATGTGTTAGAGCAAGTTGGACGAAATGTGAGGAAAAGAAGTTGATTCGGGACCAAAAGACAAAAGAAGGACTTTGCTCGTTTACTCTCGCGTGCACACGAGAGAGTGAACGAGCTACTGAGGAAAAGCTTGGAAAAAAAAGAGTGAAGTATAGAAAAAAGGCATGGAAGTGCACGATATACCTAGAAGAAAAAGAAAAGGAGAAGAACTTTGCTCGTTCACTCTCGCGTGCGCACAAGGGAGTGAACGAGCTAACCTAAAAAGGTTGTTTCGAAGTGGGCTTGTATTATTTCACTCCATGATAACCCTATCCCATATAAATAGTCTTTAAACTCACTTTTGTGGGGGAGAACGTGACTTTTGTGAGGGAGGAGACGCGACTTTGAAGAGAAATTACACACGAGGAATATTGGAGAGCAAGGATATCTCAGATTTTTTCATCTTTTCTTAGTATTTTCAATTATCCACACTTATGAATTTGTTTGATACTCTCATGAGTGGCTAAAACCCATAGTTATGGGATAGTGATTTAGCCATGAATATTATTGTTTGACATTGACTTAACCTTGATTATAATTCACCAATATATGGTTGTTTCTTCAATTCTTTGATTAATTGCTTAATTGTCTGACCATCAGTTAGGTTCTATTTACTATCTATGCTATGCTTGGGAAAGCCATGTTTAGATTAGAAAAAAATTAAGGAGAGCACGATCTTAACTGTAGGGGGGAGGAAGGATTTGTGGTTAGGATAGGAATATACCTAGTCATTGTGCTTAATTAAATATCGTAATCTTAATGCATTCTTAATAGATTGATTTCATAGGAATATAGACGTTAATCTATTTTGAATAGGCGAGTAGTACTTCGGGAGAAGGCTATGAGAGCAATTGTTCGATTAATTAGCAACCATGACTGAATTATATGAAAGGGAAAGTTAACTAGAACACAATAGGATTGGTGAATCGATCACAACCCTGGTATATTTGTCTCTACTGAATACACAACAACCAATTTACTGCTTGATAATTTAGTTACTACTTAGAATTATTGTTTAGTATAATACACTCTTGAACTCGAATTGGCTAGACTGAATAATAATCTTGGTGAATTTATTGTGTAGTTGATACAAGTCTTTATGGGTTCGACACTCGACTTATCATTTTATTACTTGTATGACCACGTATACTTGCGTGTGCATTTGGAAGCAGACTTATGAATCTTTTAATATTTAAAATGTCATGCATATGTGTATAAAAGTCATACCATGCATGGGTATATGCGTTCACAACATCATCAAGCTTCTGAGGGCAACCCATCATATCATCTCGGCCACTGTGGGCAAAATCATCAACGTATACCAGCTGATCAGGTGGTGGTGCGTATATAACGCCGTAACCTTTTCCCATATCCCATATACATATAATATACATATATACGTGTATATAATGTCATCTGGTCATATGTCAATGTACATGAATGCAATGCATGAGAAATACGTTAATAAAATCTTTCGGAATGTCATAAGACCATTATGCCTTTGAATAATATCATGAATAAACTTTTCCAACTTACGTATTTTTTTTGAAACCCATGAATAGATGATACAATAATATGACACATGGGGAATCAAGAACATAAGCATCTCTAATATTTCTATGAATAGAGTTATGTATGAAAATTGTGCATTTGCACATTTCATTTGTATCGTATAGATCATGTCAAAAGAAAGAAGGGATAGCCTTAACATACTTGAGTCGATTTTCTTGGCAATCCCTTCAATACACATTAATTGTGACAACACGTAATGGCAAGATCGGAGTATGAAAAAATTCTTATGATATTCTTGAGAAAGATTGCACTATATTCCGTTATAACTGCAAATCCTCACTTTGATTTAAATTATTGAAGTCTTGCATTGCTTGGATATATGCAGATTCATATGAAATGACCCAAAATAATGTGATGAAGCTCCTTAAGAGTCACAAGACTCTTAAGTGATAGATGATAAAGTGAATTTGGATGTGAACCATTACGTTAGTTGTATGACTTTTAAGTTTAAGTCTCTTAAGATTAATATTTCTTATACAAGGGTGTGGGCCCCACTTTCCTAATGACTAAGCCATCTTAAATGCCACCTTATTCTTATGTTTTTAAGAGTCACACCTCCATCAAGGCTAGGCTGCCACGTTATTTTTTGTAAGGATCCAAGAAATTATCCACTTATTCCTTAATTACATGGTTAACTTCTACTAAAAATTCACAATTAACCAAATATCCACATAATTAAGAATTATCTCAAATTACTTAAAATATTACTCATTTTTAACATACCTTATACACCTTACTATCATAGCCATATGGTACCTTGTATGGTACTAGTCCATAAATACTGGACTTATTACTTATTTGAAATAGCATAAAATGCGTTGAGATATTACTTATTCCATTGTCTTACTTCTCACCTTCACAAATTTACTCATTACTTATTTGAAATAGTATAAAATGCTTATAATCTTAAAATAATCTCATTCCCGAACTTACGTCGATTAACTTACGATGAAACTTTAACATACAAAAAATGCGGGATGTAATATCTCATTTCTGAGCTTTCACCAATTTGCTTATGGCATACTTTTACGTACGAAAATATGGGGTGTAACACTGAAACAGAGCATGATCCATCTACTACATACGAATTGGCAGTTTATGGGTCTTCCACACGAGGATTCACAACAACATATCCTGAACTTCTTGGAGATTAGTGATACTTATATCACTAAGGAGTCACTCCAGACTATGCGAGGCTCACACTTTTCCTATTCTCTCTGTTGGGCTAAGCAAAGCGATGACTGAAGGCAGAATCGGCTAATTCTATTATATCATGGAACGATCTGGCAAGGAAAGTTTTGGCAAGGTCCTTCCCTTCAGGGAAAACTGCACAAATCAAAAGTGAGATAGTCGCCTTCAAACAGAAAGTAAGAGAGTCTTTATACTCAGCTTGGGAGAGGTTCAAGTGGTTGCTCAGAGACTGCCCTCATCACAATTAGACAAACGAAGCGTTAGCTCACACTTTCATAGAAGGGCTACATCCCAAGACAAAGATTGTGGTAGATGTTGCAGCTAGAGGTCAAGTATTGGAGAAAAGCTTTGATGAGATATATGTGTTATGAATAAATTCTCCAAAAGAAATCCTGATTGGCAAGGAGAGATGGGCAGACACACAGTGCAAAAATCTGCAGGGGTTCTCGAGCTAGATGTCGTCTCTGTATTATCAGTGCAGATTTCCACATTGACAAATCAAGTCAATCAGATGACCTTAGTTATTAACAACAGTTCAACATGTTCAAGTGTTTTGTGAAGTATGTGGAGAAGGTCATACGAGCAACTTATGCTCAGTTAATCCAAAGTCTATCTGTTTTGTGGGTAATGCAAATAGGGGCCAAACAAACCAGTATGGGAACACTTATAAACCTAACTGGAGTAACCACCCAAACTTCTCTTGGGTTGGAAACCAAGGTGCTCAGAATCAGTACAGGTCACACGCACCTTAATAACAATATAGACCACCGCAGATTGAACAACAAGCAAACTAATCACTTTAAAGAGATGATGAAGAAATTAATGGCTGACCAGCAAGCCCAAATAGCAGAGATGATAAAAAAATTAATGGTTGACTAGTAGGACCAAGCAGCAGCGATGAGAAATTTGGAGCGACAAATGGGACAAAGTGCCAGTGCCCAAAATACTCGACCAATTGGAAATCTTCCAAGCGACACTGAGGTTAATCCTAAGGCATCTATTAATGCCGTGTCAATCAAGAATGGGAGACAATTAGAAGAAGTCCAGTTGAAAAAGAGAAAACAAGTGACCTTTAATGAGAAGTCGGCCACTATAGAGTCAAAATTAGAAAAATCAAAGGAGGTAGAGAAGCCAGCTGAAGAGGCGGTGGCTAAGCAACCCCCACCAATACTTGTGAGGCAACCACCTCCATTCCCTCAAAGATTGCAGAAAGTGAAGGATAATGTCGCACATACAAAGTTTCGTGATATTTTGAAGCAGGTACAAATTAATATTCCACTGGTAGACATCCTGCAAGAAGTGGCCAAATATGCAAAATACATCAAGGACATAGTAGCAAATAAAAGGAGGTTGACCGAGTTCGAGACCGTGGCACTCACTGAGGAATGTAGCTCAAGAATTCAAAGCAATCTACCTCAGAAATTGAAGGATCCAAGTAGTTTCACTATCCAAATCTCGATTGGTAAGCATGCAGTCGGACGAGCTTTGTGTGATCTTGGAGCGATCATCAATTTGATGTTGCTATCTATGTTCAGACAGTTAGGGTTGGGTGAGCCACGCCCAACAATGGTAATCTTACAGTTGGTTGATCGCTCCCTTGCTCATCCTGAAGGAGTGATTGAAGATATGTTAGTTCAAGTTGGTTCTTTCATATTCCATGATGATTTCATTATCTTGGACTGCGAGCCTGATCAGGAAGTCCCATTTATTTTGGGGCATCCATTCTTAGCCACGAGCCGAGCTATTATTGATATATGCAAAGGAAAGATGACGATGAGAGTAGGTGATTGAGTGGAGGTATATAAAGAACTCATATTGCCAGCCCACTATGATGAGATATCCATGATTTCTGTGGTAGAAAGTGATGCTATGTCATTGGTGCCTTATATGAGCCCCATACACACTTTTCAAAGAGCTTTGATTGGGGATGAAGAAGACAGTGAAGATGAAATGATTGGAGAAATTGAGCAAGTACTTGACATGTCTTGTAGTTATGTCCCTGGTTTTGGGTGATTTGAGGAGTTGGACATGCCTGTCACTCTGACTCCTCCTAAGCCATCTATTGAAGAAGTTCCAAAGCTAGAACTTAAGCCCTTTTCCAGCGCATCTGTGCTATGCTTATTTAGGGAACTCTGAGACATTGTCAATGATTATGTCATCTGTCTTGACTAATATACAAGAAGAAAAATTGCTCAGACTACTTCACGAACATAAAAAGGCTATTGGGTGGACAATTGCTGACATTAAGGGAATCAGTCCATCGTTTTACATGCATAAAATCATTTTGGAAGACGGACCGCCCCAGTGTTAAGCACCAAATGAGATTAAATCCCATTATGAAAAAGGTCATGAAGAAGGAAGTAATTAAGTGGCTCAATGCAGGTATCATCTTTCCTATCTCTAACAGCAACTGGGGTAAGCCTAGTGCAATATGTGCCCAAAAAAGGGGGGATGACTGTAGTAGAGAATGAGAAAAATGAGCTAATTTCTACTCGCACCGTGACAGGATGAAGAGTTTGCATTGATTACAGAAGTCTCAACAAAGCAACCCGCAAGGACCACTTTCCACTTCCATTCATTGATCAAATGTTGGACAGATTGGTGGGGAATGAATATTATTATTTTCTTGATGGTTATTCGAGATACAACCAAATTGTCATATGCCTAGAGGATCAGGAGAAGACCACTTTTACTTGTCCTTATGGCACTTTCGCCTTCAAGCGTATGCTGTTTGGTCTTTGTAATGCTCCAGCCACTTTCTAGAGATGCATGATGGCTACTTTCACTGTTATGGTGGAAAAATTTATGGAAGTCTTTATGTATGATTTTTCTGCCTTTGGGTCTTCTTATGACGACTATTTTAAGAATTTGATCAAGGTGTTAGCCCGTTGTGAAGAAACAAATCTAGTGTTGAATTGGGAAAAATGCCATTTTATGGTACATGAAGGCATCGTGTTGGGTCACAACGTGTCTAGAAGCGGTATTGAAGTTGATAAGGCTAAGGTGGAGGCGGTTGAAAAATTACCTCCACCCATTTCAGTGAAGGGTGTCCAAAGTTTCTTGGGACACGTGGGGTTCTATCGACGCTTTATAAATGATTTTTCAAAAATTGCTACTCCTTTTTGCAGGTTGCTTGAAAAGGATGTAACTTTCAATTTTAATGACACCTTCCTGAAGGCATTTGAAGAGCTTAAAAAGAAGTTGGTGGCTTCCCTCATTATTGCGGTACCGGATTGGTCCTTGCCATTTGAACTTATGTGTGATGCAAGTGACCATGCTATTGGGGCAGTGCTAGGCCAGAGGAAAGACAAGGTGTTTTATTCCATCTACTATGCAAGTAAGACTCTGGATAATACACAACTAAATTACACCAATACTGAAAAAGGGTTGTTAGCCGTTGTGTGGGCCTTTGAGAAATTTCGGGCATACTTGGAAGTCATAGTCCATACCGATCATGCAGCAATCAGGTATCTATTTACAAAAAAAGGAATCTAAGGCTAGATTGATGCACTTGGTTTTGTTGTTGTAGGAATTTGATGTCGAAATATGAGATCGAAAGGGCACAGAGAACCAAGTAGCTGACCATCTATCAAGGCTGGAAAATCATGACCACGTGGAGGAGGGTGGACAAATTAAAGAAGCATTTCCTGATGAGCAACTTTTTGCTATCACCTAAGACCCTCCCCCATGGTATGCGGACTATGTGAACTATTTTGTAAGTGGGGTATTTCCTCCTGAAATTGAATCTCAAGCTAGAAAGAGATTTCTACATGATGTGAACTTCTACTGTTGGGATGAGCCATACTTGTACAAGCAATGTGCTGATCAGTTGATGAGGAGATGCATTTCAGAAAAGGAGGTGGAATCAATGTTGTATGATTGTCATGCATCACCTTATGTGAGCCTTAAAGGAGGCGATAGAACAGCTGCAAAGGTATTACAATTCGGTTTCTTTTAGCCAACATTATTCAAGGATGCCCATGCATTTTTTAAGAAGTGTGACCAATGTCAAAGAACAAGAACAATCATAAGGAGGCATGAGATGCCTTTGAATAACATCTTGGAGATCGAGATTTTTTATGTATGGGGAATAGATTTTATGGGACCATTCCCATTGTCTAGAGGAAAAAAATACATTTTGCTAGCAGTTGAGTACGTGTCAAAATGGATAGAGGCGGTCGCATTGCCAACAAATGATGCCATGGTAGTAGTTGCATTTGTGAAAAAGAACATATTCTCGAGGTTTGGGACTCCGGTGCCTTGATTAGTGATGAAGGGACACATTTTAGCAATCGGTTGTTGAATAACCTTCTAGCTAAATATGGAGTCTGCCATAGAGTTGCCCCAGCATATCATTCTAAAACAAGTGGACAAGCTAAGGTGTCTAACAGAGAAATAAAGCAAATCTTAGAGAAGACGGTAAGTGTGAATAGGAAGGATTGGGCTGCAAAGTTAGATGATGCCTTGTGGGCGTATAGAATTGCATACAAAACGCCAATTGGGGCGTCGCCGTATAAGCTTGTTTATGGAAAGGCATGTCGCTTGCCTATTGAACTTGAACACAAAGCGTACTGGGCCATTAAAAAGTTGAATATGGACCTTGCAACCGCAGGTGAGAAGAGACTGTTTCAGTTGAATGAGTTAGATGAGTTCGGGTTGTACTCTTATGAAAATGCTAAGCTGTACAAAGAGAAAACGAAAATATGGCATGACAAGCGTATCAAGCCACGTCACTTCGAGGCAGGCCAACATGTATTATTATTCAATTCTAGGCTCAAGTTATTTCCCGGGAAGTTAAAATCGAGATGGTCAGTCCCGTTTGAGGTGGTGAGAGTCACTCCGTATGGTGCAATTGAGTTGCATGCTTTAAATGGTGAAAAGAAATTTTTAGTGAATGGACACAGAGTCAAGCACTATTGGGGAGGAATAATTGATAGTGAGAAGACCAATGTTGCACTTGCTGATGAGTAAGCGAGGCCCTGCGTCATGCCGCGACATTAAATCAGGCGCTTGTTGGGAGGCAACCCAACTTTACTATTTTCTTTTATTTTTATTTTTATTATATTATTTTGTAGTGTTTGTTTTGATTTTGTAGGATGATAAGCATAGGAAACAAAGTCATTGAAAGAGTGCAAAAGCGAGCTTGATGGTGAGAACTAAGTGTGAGGTGGCCACATAAAGGATTATACTTGGGAGAAGTCTGAGTATCCCGTGAGCTGCTAATTCTTCGACCTTTGGCCTACCAGGGAGTCTCTTTTACCCTCTTATTATTTGTAGTGTGCATTGAGGACACTGCACAATTTTAAGTGTGGTGTGAGGAGATTATCTGTGTGATTTTCTGTGCTATCTTAGCTTAGTTGTAGTATTTGTTCTGAGTGTAGTAGTTTTTGTTTTAAAAAAAACAAAAAAAAAGTAGAAAAATTGGAAAATTCTCCTGATGATGGATCTCATTCGACAGGTTTCTTGAGGGATTTAAGTTGAAAGAAAAATAGACAAACAACAACAACAACAACAATAACTACCTCGTAAAATCCCACATAGTGGGGTTTGGGGAGGGTAATGTGTACACAGACCTTACCCCTACCCGATAGGGGCAGAGATGCTATTTCCGATAGACCCTCGGCTCAAAAAGACGAAAATAAAATAAAAAACAAGAAAAAAATAAATAAAAAAAACAAGAAAAGAGAATTCATTAGTAACTCTAGTAGAAACCGTAATAGTAACAGAAGCATAAAAACCAAAAGATGAATGACATGCAATAACAGTAACCAGAATCTAAGGCCCGGGGCTAAGATAAACAACAAGAATAGTGTGGGTTCAACATAAACTGCAAGCCATCTAAGATCAACCCTAATCCAATCCCGCCTCACCCCCGGTATGAAGTAAGGAAAGCTTTACTACCCCTATCCTACAACCCTAATGCTTGACCTCCAGGCCTTACTATCAAGGTCCATGTCCTCGGAAATCTGCAGTTGTACCATGTCCTGCATGATCACATCTCCCCAATACTTCTTAGGTCTCTCTCTACCTCTTCTCTCACCCACCACGGCCAGCCGCTCACACCTCCTCACCGGTGCATCAAGGCTTCTCCTTTGCACGTGCCCGAACCATCTGAGCCTCGCTTCCCATATCTTGTCATCCACAGGGGCGATGCCCACCTTCCTCCGAATATCTTTATTCCTAATCTTGTCTAACCTAGTGTGCCCGCACATCCACCTCAGCATCCGCATCTCTGCTACTTTCATCCTCTGGATATGAGAGTTCTTAACCGGCCAACACTCTTCCCCATACAACATGGCTGGCCGAACCACAACTCTATAAAACTTACCTTTGAGTATCGGTGGCACTTTCTTGTCACACAAGACTCCAGATGCAAGCCTCTATTTCATCCAACCCGCCCCTATGCGGTGAGTGACATCCTCGTCGATCTCTCCGTCCCCCTGAATCATCGACCCAAGGTACTTTAAGCTATCTCTCTTAGGGATGACCTGTGACCCAAGCCTCACGTCCCCGCCTACTTCCCTCGACTCAGCGCTAAACTTGCACTCCAGGTACTCTGTCTTAGACCTGCTCAATTTGAAACCCTTAGACTCGAGAGTCTGTCTCCAAATCTCCAATCTCTCGGTAACACCGGCCCTCGTCTCGTCAATTAAAACTATGTCATCAGCAAATAACATACACCGTGACACCTCCCCTTGAATATGGTGTGTCAAAGCATCCATCACCAAGGCAAATAAGAACGGGCTAAGCGCAGAGCCTTGGTGTAATCTCATAACAACCGGAAAATGATCTGAGTCACCTCCCACAGTCCTAACCTTAGTCTTATCTCCATCATACATGTCCTTGATCGCTCGTATGTAGGCTACCGGTATGCCCTTCGCCTCAAGACATCTCCAGAGCACCTCCCTAGGAGCCTTATCATACGCTTTCTCCAAGTCAATAAACACCATGTGCAGATCCTTCTTCTTATCCCTGTACTATTCCACCAACCTCCTAATAAGGTGGATAGCTTCTGTAGTGGAGCGGCTCGGCATGAACCCAAACTGATTGTCGGATATAGACGTCGTCTTCCTCACCCTCACCTCCACCACCCTCTCCCAGATTTTCATGGTATGGCTAAGTAACTTGATACCCCTATAATTGTTACAACAATGGATATCACCTTTGTTCTTGTACAACGGTACCACTGTACTCGACCTCTATTCCTCCGGCATCCTCTTTGTCCTAAAAATTACATTGAACAACCCAATCAGCCATTCCAATCCTGCTCTACCCACACACTTCCAAAACTCAATCGGAATTTCATCTGGCCCGGTCGTTCTACCCCTACTCATCTTACGCAAAGCCCCCACGATCTCCTCCACCTTAATGCGCCTGCAATACCTAAAATCTAGGAGATTCTCCGAATGCCCCAAGTCCCCTAGCGCTATATCCCGGTCCCCCTCCTCATTTAGAAGACCATAAAAATAGACAAAAATATTTTCTTTTGTTAGGTAGTGTAATAATTCTCCCTTGGTTTTTCTTTGTGATGCGGTTGTTTTCCAAGGATTTTGTTTGAACCAGGTGAAGTTAGTTATATTTTTTTTAGGACTACGTAGGAGCCAGTGTGCTGTGACTGGAATTGAAGCAATATCTCGACTTTGTTATACCTTGAGAATAGTGAGTACTTTGGTTGTGACCCTTAGGCTCAGTTTTTGACTCTTGTATAAGTACCTTAAATTGTATGATCTTAACTTTGCTTAATTTCTTTGACTAGAGTGTCTTGATGAGTCTAATCTTGAGTGAGTTATATATCATGTGTGTGAGAGATTTGTTTATGTCATTCTGTGCATTGCATTTGATGTATAGAACTTGCCCCGTATATTTGCAAAGCGAAATAGTAGTTTTGTTCAGTCTTGGAAGTGATATAAGCATTTTTTAGTTGAACCAGTTATATATTTTACCTGCCTAATTGTTATGTATCGTAGCTAACCCTTTGAGCCAGTAATCTCGTTTCTTTGGAAACCACATTACAAACCATACACATTTATTTTAATTAACCATCTATTTAAACTTTTTCACCTCTTATGAGCACTTGAATTGTAATGAACTTTGTCAAAGTTAACATATATATATNTTATAGGAGTATGGAGTTAATATACATTGATATGAAGGTGGAGTTATGGTTTAACATAAGTGTGGGGTTTTAAATGTTAAAGTGTATGTATTAATGTACTTAGGGAGGTGTAGTCACTCGTATATCTAAATGTATCCTACCCATCCCGCACCCTACATTACAACAAAATAAAGTCCTAATTGATCCTTGACTGAATGAGCTCGATTAGTAGAGTAGTACACTACGGACAAGCCTATGGTTCATCTTTTATGGCATATGAATGTTGTTTCTGAGAGTGAGTGAATTCTTTCTATATTGAGTTCCTAATTATTTTTGAATTTTATGTGTGTGGAACTACTCTCTTTTGTTATGTGCGGGCACTTGATTCATAAAGGAAAGGTAATATCGTTGATCTCTGTGTTAGAGTAAGTGAGCGGGTTGTGAAAAATGCGTGGTGCTTGTAAGTCAAATCTTGAGGTGAGGATGTTACACTATTGTACTTAGTTTATTTTAAATATTCTTGGTATGATGATTTATGAGAGTTGTTTAAAAAGATCGTGTTGTTGTAAAATGAAGAAAGTTGCTCGAGGACGAGCAAGAGTTTAAGTGTGGGGTATTGATAAATGGCCAAAAATGCATATTTGTCGGTGCACTTTCATCTCATAGCTTGTGGGAATACGGTAGGTTACATGAGTTTTTGTAGTGAATTATGCTCATTACGTGCATTCTTATGTGTTGGAGCAAGTTGGACGAAATGTGAGCAAAAGAAGTTGATTCGGGACCAAAAGACAAAAGAAGGACTTTGCTCGTTCACTCTCGCGTGCACACGAGAGAGTGAACGAGCTACTGAGTAAAAGCTTGGAAAAAAATAGTGAAGTATAGCAAAAGGTATGGAAGTGCACGAGATACCTAGAAGAAAAAGAAAAAGAGAAGAACTTTGCTCGTTCACTCTCGCGTGCGCACAAGAGAGCGAACGAGCTAACCTAAAAAGGTTGTTTCGAAGTGGGCTTATATTATTTCACTCCATGCTAACCCTATCCCATATAAATAGTCTTTAAACTCACTTTTGTGGGGGAGAACGTGACTTTTGTGAGGGAGGAGATGCGACTTTGAAGAGAAATTACACACGATGAATATTGGAGAGCAAGGATATCTCAGATTTCTTCATCTTTTCTTAGTATTTTTAATTATCCACACTTATGAATTTGTTTGATACTATCAAGAGTGGCTAAAACCCATAGTTCTGGGGTTGTGATTTAGCCATGAATATTATTGTTTGACGTTGGCTTAACCTTGATTATAATTCACCAATATATGGTTATTTTTTTAATTCTGTGATTAATTGCTTAATTGTCTGGCTAGCAGCTAGGTTCTATTTTCTATCTATGCTATGCTTGGTAAAGCCATGTTTAGATTAGAGAAGAATTGAAGAGAGCACGATCTTAATTTTGAGGGGGGGGGGGCGAATT